ACATCGCAGGCGAGGCAGCGGACGTAGCCCTCTCCTGAGTATTCGAGATGCTGGGACATTCCTCGTATCCAAGCCCCTGCTGTGCTGTCTTACAGGTAAAGGCGCAACCCTGCTATTCCTTCCTTACACCACTGCTGGTGGAAGAGCCTCCACTCGAGGGCGCTCCAGAGAGCGCCTCTCTATGCAGCGTTTCTTGGCCTATTCTTCCACGCAGGCCAAACATCTTGGAAGAGGCGAGGGCGCCCACACTTGACCCCACCACACGTGACCTGCCGATCCACCGGCTGCCTCCCATTTGTACTGCTGGGTGGGGCCGAGGCGGGGGAGGAGGTTTCCAGGGACCTGCCCCGTCGCTTCAACTGCTGCCATGCGGGGAGATTGGCTCGGCGACCTCCGCATTGTGAGCTCTGAGTGAGGACCAACCGCTCCACTGCGGCAGCTTCCGCTTTCTTCTTATCTGCGCACCCCCCCCCCCTTCCACAAATTGATCTGCGGAAAAATATCCTAATCTCCTATTTTAAGCGCTCACCTCGTGGATGAGCTAACTTAAAGTGCCATATTCCTCCTTTTAAATGCGGCTTTCGGCAGATAAGATAAGAAACCTGCAAGTGACAACGCAGTCATCCCAAATTCTCATTTATCCGTGGATATCTGCGGGAATACCGGACGTTATTTCCATGGATAAACACGGATAATAGCATCCCCCTCCACCATCACCACAGACCAGAGGAATTTCACTGTATGGGATCGGTAGAGATGGGCTTGCGAAATGTCGGAGACTCTAGCCCATACATTTTGGAGGCAGAAGCTCTTAATTGTTGGAGATAGGATCATATAAATGAAGGTATGAGCTTGGCACATGAATTATAGAGGGGCACAAGAGGTAATCATCAGCTGTTGTCAAACCACTGATGGATGAAGGCCTCCGCTCGCTGCTACCACCCCGACGCGGTCTTGTGCTGTCACGAATCCATCTCGTCCCTCCGCTCGAGCCGATCTCATCGCTGCACGTCCACGGCCGACCGTCCCCTCCTGGGGGCCCACGTTCGCCTCTTTGGGCTGCCATTCCATCACCAGTCTCGTCCGTTGGCCACCGTTTCTTGCAGCCACGACGTGTCCCGCCGGGGTCCACTTGCTGTCCCCCCGAGTGGGCACGGTGTCTCCGCTGTGTGTTTATTCCTCGCTTCGCGTGCTGCGCTGTGTGCGAGTGCGCTTGTCGGCATAAATCCGAGCGTGCTCCTCTGTGCACCTTTCGTTACTCGTCGCGAGTTTTTTCCCGCGCGAGCGAGGCAGCTGGCAATGCGCGCTCCTCTTGTTCACCTCGTCATGCCATCATTTTGAATTCAGAGTTTTGAATTCAATAATTGCCCTTAGGAAAGTGGGGAATTCAGTCGCTTAACGCATCGACGAGAGTCTGACACTCTCCAAAACAAAACAAATAAAAGGGCACCATTCTCAGCCTATGGGCCTGAAAACAGTTGAAAAGTTTCCACCTCGACAAATGAAGCCGGCACTCAGCCGAAGGCGTGTAACGTCGTCGTGATGAGAGCCGCGTGATTTCTGGTGATGTGATTGCGTCTTTACTTGACGATGCGGTGTTTATGGCGCGGTGGGTGTGCAAATAAAAATCACGCACAGACAAAACATCGTGAAGGTGGCGGGGGTAGTGGTGGAGGGGGTTTATTTTCACCATTCAATGCTGGAGTGTTGGCGAGTAGTAGGCAAACGTTGGTCTGGGTGGTGGTGGTGGTGGTGTTGCCCGCATCGGCCTCACCGTCAAAAATGAAACGATGAAGTTCGGCCGTGAGGCAGGCATTGCACTTCAAAGGGCCAAAAACTCTGCACTCTCATCCACCGCACACACACACAGACCTATACAGATATTATTATCATCATTATTGTTGTCTTCCTATAGTTCTGTCCCGGACAGGTTTGACCATTAACCATGAAGCTAAGTGAAGCGTGGATTGGTGCCAGGTTCAACCAAACATCAAGTGCCCTCTTCTTGGTTCTTTCGGTAAAGTCACGTAGAAGGGAAATAATAAAAAATTATAAAATAAAATTCTCACGACGTTTCGGCCACAACACAAGTAGCCGTCCTCAGGTGAAGAAACAGAACTGTCAGACAGCGCTCACTGGAGCGCTGTCTCTCCAGTGAGCGCTGTCTCTCCAGTGAGCGCTGTCTCTCCAGTGAGCACTGTCTCTCCAGTGAGCACTGTCTCTCCAGTGAGTGCTGTCTCTCCAGTGAGTGCTGTCTCTCCAGTGAGCGCTGTCTCTCCAGTGAGCGCTGTCTCTCCAGTGAGCGCTGTCTCTCCAGTGAGTGCTGTCTCTCCAGTGAGTGCTGTCTCTCCAGTGAGCGCTGTCTCTCCAGTGAGCGCTGTCTCTCCAGTGAGCACTGTCTCTCCAGTGAGCACTGTCTCTCCCGTGAGCGCTGTCTCTCCCGTGAGCGCTGTCTCTCCCGTGAGCGCTGTCTCTCCAGTGAGCACTGTCTCTCCAGTGAGCACTGTCTCTCCAGTGAGTGCTGTCTCTCCCGTGAGCGCTGTCTCTCCAGTGAGCACTGTCTCTCCAGTGAGCGCTGTCTCTCCAGTGAGCACTGTCTCTCCAGTGAGCGCTGTCTCTCCAGTGAGCACTGTCTCTCCAGTGAGCGCTGTCTCTCCAGTGAGCGCTGTCTCTCCAGTGAGCGCTGTCTCTCCAGTGAGCGCTGTCTCTCCCGTGAGCGCTGTCTCTCCAGTGAGCGCTGTCTCTCCAGTGAGCGCTGTCTCTCCAGTGAGCGCTGTCTCTCCAGTGAGCGCTGTCGCTCCCGTGAGCGCTGTCTCTCCAGTGAGCGCTGTCCAGTGAGCGCTGTCTCTCCAGTGAGCGCTGTCTCTCCAGTGAGCGCTGTCTCTCCAGTGAGCGCTGTCTTTCCAGCGCTGTCGCTCCAGTGAGCACTGTCTCTCCAGTGAGCGCTGTCTTTCCGACAGTTCTGTTTCTTCACCTGAGGACGGCAACTTGTATTGTGGCCGAAACGTTGTGAGAATCTTATTTTATTGTTTTATTTTTTTATTATTTTTCTTCTATGTGACTTTACCGAAAGAACCAAGAAGATGAATCCCTGCAGGGACGAAAGCTTTAAATCGAAATCAAGTGCCCTCTCACACAAATGCTCCTCCTGGTCTGTTCGTTGAAATCTGATACCACGTCCCCATGACCACCGGGGCAGAGCGAGGCCGCTTTTCGCGAAATTGGTGCAAGTGGGCTCGGTCCACCCGTGGCCTTGCTGGGCCTAATCGCGTGGCTTCATTGCAGCGAAATGCATTGACTCCCTTTAACATGGTGAGTACGGCTCCGTTTCCCGGTGGTCGTGGAGACGTGGCAGTAGTGGTGTGCGAGATATAGGATCGGTATCCCTCGGTAAAAAAAAAAAAATCCTTCAGCTTCTGCGGGAATCACCACCACCAACATCATCATCACCGTTGGTTAACCAGGCGAAACCAACCCGACCCGACAATACCTCTGTTACAAAAAAAATATTGGTTACTGCAGTCACGCAGAGGCAGTTATTGAAACATTGTAATTGCAAGCTCTGCAATTTATAAATATAGTTTCCATTTGGACAACGGCACAGGCACATGATGGTCTACGTTTGTGAATGATGCCATCATCGGTTCCTTAACGTCTGCTTCACAGTGGGCGGGCGGCGTGCTTTGGTCATCCCCGCAAACAAAAACATAAATCAGTGCCAGGCCACCGAGGCGCCGTTCACACCGCGACGGACGGACGCTGCACTCGCGGGCCGCGCGTTGTTACGGCGGACGCCGGAGGGAACGCCCTCAAAGCAGAATGGCGAAATGTCCTTCCGCGTCATTTCTGGGCAACACTACACACAGGCTACGCATGGAGGTGTGTCCTGCGCATACATAAAGCCCGACGCAAACCTAGGGATTGTTTTTTCTTTTCTTTATATTGCACCAAAGCCAACCCAATTGTCTCCGACAGTCAGCACCGAATGGTGGGAGCGCGCGTAGCTGCCGAAATTCGGAAATCCGGAATGACGGCGCTTGCGACCGCATGGCCTCTCCTGCGCAGTGCTGTGACGTTGCGTTCTTCGCGTGGGTCACGTGGCACCGGGCTCTTCCAGTGGCTGCTGGTTGCTCCTTCCCCCCTCCGACCCTGACGGCGATCGGAATTCCTCGATCTTGATTGAGGCGAGAGTCAGTCGAGCGCGTGGATCGGTGTGTGAGTATGCCAGGAGCGACGTCATCTCATATGCGTGGCTATTTGACCATTAATTGAGCGGCCACTATGAATCCCGTTGGCGAGCCAATGTTTGATGGTGGGATGACGGCGCCAGCCGCTTAGAAAGTGCCCACAGAGTTAAATACATTAATATTAGCATTCACATGACACGCATTGTCTGGCCGCAGATTGGTACAGAATGATCATCCGTGAGCGCAACACAAGATTGTCAACGAGTCTATCGCCTGCCAAAATCCCTCAGTGGACAATGCACAGTGATTACACACACATAGCGTCACTTTCGAGGTCCGCTCCGATGGGATTGCGAACAAAAGGGGAAGAATGAGGTGCCAAGGGTTGGGTTCGTGTTTGGATTACCCATGGGCTAGTGCCAGGGTTAATATAAGGTTAGGGATGGGGATAGAGTTTGGTTGGATAGGGGCCGTCCATGAATGACGTCACACGATTTTGGACGATTTTTTACCTCCCTCCCCCCCTTCGTCACACGGCGTCACAAAAAGTCAGACCTCCCCTCAAATATGACGTCACAAAGCTCTGCCCCCCCCCCCCCCCAAATAAAGCATGCTTCAAATAGCTTTAAACTATTGTCATTGTAGTGCGTATTCAATGTGGCGCTGCACTCTGATGTTGTAAGAGAAAACATTTATTAAAAAGTCTATTTAATTAAGTAGAACGTGTTGTCTAAATTTATTTAAAGTTGCGCATTTTGATGTGACGTCACATTTCTCAAACCCCCCCCCCCCCCCTCGTCACACATCGTCACAAATGCCTAACCCCCCCCATAGGTGCGTGACGTCATTTATGGACGGCCCCATACTGTTCACCAATGACGATTATTTGTCCCCTCCAATTGTGGCCAGGTAGGGCCCTTTAAATTTTCGTTAGCGTCTCTGTTTTGCCATTTGACGGAGCCATGGGCTGGATTCGAATCGGCGAACCCAAAGCAGATGTAGCCATGCGTCACCCACGCAGTTTCCACAGTTCAAAAATATACAACTAAACGCATCTCTAAATATAATTTACTTCTCATAATAATAATAAGACCGAGCAGAGCAAGTGGTTAAATCTGTCCAGGTCAAGAGGTCATCGGTGTCGTTGATGCCACCGCATCAGGCCATCGCTTCCCATTTCTGATCGATCCTGCGATTGTTGCAGAGTTGACACCCAACCTTGAAGTTCGCCGTCTCATCACCGTCACCTGCACGCACGAACTTGCCTTATTGCGCAGTCGACACAACTTACGACACCGTCAACACCGTCGGGCTGCAGGGCTTGCCTGTGATCGGCGACCTACGGGCGTCACTCCAATGCCTGCTTCTGTAACCTGCCCTCCCTCCTCCACCCGTACGCTAACCGTGTCCCACCCATCGCAACATCCGCTTCCCAATTACAGTTACCGCACCTTCCTTCCATACTCTATTCCAGACTTCCAAGTTACTTACCCTATTTTGCCATAGTATCCTTAGCATTCCCTGTATGTATGTTAGTATTTGTAGATAGGTTTTTAAAGTATAATTGTATTGATATATAACAGTGTTACTGTGGTGTATATTGGAGTATGGCAGAATGTTTAATAGCGAACCTATTGGCAGCCGTATATATGCAGCTGCCTAATGCCGATTAACTTTAAATGGCAGAGAAGCGTCTCTGCAACCGTACACACGTGTGCCTGTACGTGCAATGCTGCTACATACATGCCACGTGGATTTACATTTTACCTAAGACCCTTGTAGACCGATAGGCCTGAGCGCCCATTGAGGCGAGCCACACCATGGGGTGGTGAGGCTGGGATCACACATTGTCCGGCCACCTTTATCTCCCCTGTCCTGATATTTATTTTTTTCAAACGTCGCACCAGGTACTGATTTTAGGCTGAGTTGATCTGGGGCGGAGGGGGGGAGGTCGAGGCCAAATTTAGTTCAAAACTCGTTGTGAATAGGCAAGAATTGAGTCCTGGGAATCACGACCTCAGCACAGTGGTCTAAATGCATACGGGTATATATACATATATATGTACACACAAATCAAAAATATCTCACCATCGTCTGCCTCATAAGACAAAAATATATAATATGCTCAGGCTAACATTTCAGTTTGTGGCCCTTCTTCAGAACAAAGAGGGGGCAGGGAAATGTATTCATAATAAAGGTTTTTGGGTTAGATCGCGTTTATTTATAAATGTGATCTGAAATATTGTTTGGAGGCCACATTTGACAACATGAACAAAACTGACACTAGCATTTTAGAGTTGTACAATGCATACGCGCACACAAAGATCCCCATTGGGGGAAGTGCTGTTAGCGAGCACCTATTAAGGCCAACACAGCGCGCGGTGGGGTGGTGTGGCTAGGACAATGCCCAGCCCCCTTTGTCTTCCTAGTGCCGATGTATGCACGCTGCACCAGGAAATTGTCAGGATGCGTTGAGCTAGGGTATGCCCAGGGCAGGTTCTTCTTTCACTTGCCACTGACGTTAGCCGTGGCCGAAGATGGAACTCTGATCACCAGGTGCGAAGCATAGTCCAAGAACCATTGCGCCACCGCTCCCCTAGACTCACACACACAGGGGGTCAACGTGTGCACAAGCAAGTGCGTTACATACACACAGGTACCTTCTCTGTCCTTTAGAACTACAGTGTATTACCAAGTGGCGTAGCGTGGCTGGCACTGCTGGAGGAAATGAACCGGGGGCCCTCCTGTTCCATTTCCCCTCTCCTCGTAGAAGCTCTGGCTCGTGAGAGCCGGTGCAGTTGCACCGCCTGTACACTTTGACTGAGAGAGACAAATAATCGGGGCCCAATTCCTCATGACGACGGATGCCCCATTTATATCGGATTTTTGCCACATTGCGTAAACCACCGACAACACAATTGCTCAGCTCACTCTTGCAAAAGAGGCGATCCTAGTCTCTTGGGTTCTCACCTGGTTAAACCAATAAACGTCATTGGTTTCCCAAACCAAGGATTCCCTCCAAAGCCTTAACATACTTCAGGGGCAAGTGCTGTTAGCGAGCACTCAAGACGGCCGGCACGGCACACGAGGGGGTGGATGTCCAACACCACGCCTGGATGCCTCTGTCTGCCCAGTGCTGATGCTTACAAACCGCACAAGGTACATTACTCATTTAAGTCTGAGTCGACTTAGGGGAGACCCAGGACCAGTTCAGATGATCGTCATCGGTGGTGGCCATGAGCGGTAATCGAACTCGGGTCGCCAGATTCGTAGCGCAAAGCACTCACCATTGCACTACCGCTCCCACGTACCCACGTACCCACTAACGCACAACAGCCGCCACGCCGGTGACGTCACCATAACGCCTGTGCCAAGCCAGGTGCACTTTGAGGCCACGTGAAGTGTCGAAGGCTCGACTGACAGGAGGTCACGAGACCGACCCAGGTGCCATAGATTGACAGACTGAGATGACCGGTAGACGAACCAGCTGTACCCCCCCCCCCCCCACTGTGCCTACTTTTGGCATACAACACACACACACACCGTGGCACAACAGAGATCGTAATGTACCCGAGGAAAGCGTTGACCACGTGCGCTTCGCGATCCGCGCGTGTCCACGAGCCACGTGCGTCTCCTGCTAGAGGCACGCGCTGTCACCGCCGCGCACCGCTGGCGGATGCGCGGGAAGCCCCAGCGGCAGCAGCTGCATCGGCGGCGACTGCAGCAGCGGCAGCAGGACGGGCAGCAGCTGCAGGAGCAACTGCAGGAGCAGCACCGCGACGGCTCCGGGCGGGGGGGCCGAGCGCCGGGCCGAGTTGCGGCGGCGCGCCGGCCTGGGCCCGTTGCAGAACGCCGTGTTGCAGCAGCTGATGCACACGGAGCCCATGCGGCCCGGCCTGCAGAACCTCTGGTAGCCCGCGGCGGCGATGAGGCACGCGGCCGACGACGCGCACGACTTTCGGTAGAACGTGCCTGCGTGTGCGTGCGTGGGTGTCGGCACGTGCGCGGGCGCGTGCGTGGGAACGTGTGCGTGTGTGCGCGAGGATCGGTGCGTGCGGAGTGTTTGGGTCCAAGCGCACACGCAGAGACACGAGGGCTCCGGTCGTTAGCGCTGAGCTCATGAACCATAAGGAGATGCCAGTGAAATGTCACTGTTCAAGTTTCCTCCAAAGATTCCATACAAACACACACACACACTTTTACACACGTCCTTATAGTCACACATATACCTGAAACATACACGAAAAAGATAGAGGTCACATGCTGTTGGGGAAAGTGCTGTTAGCGAGCACCTATTAAGGCCGGCACAGCAGTTGACGCACACGGAGCAAAGTTCAACTAAAATTTTTTGAGATGAATGTAAAGAGAGCTTACAAACCTCTAAACACCCTAAGTTAAGTAAACACTGTTGGGCACTTATTACCGAGGTCAACGTACGCAGTCCTCAGGCATGTGGTTCAATCTGGTCTGCAAGGACTCGGGATGAACTCCATGACGAACCTCGCTCGTGAAAGCTCCACAAACAAGAACGGATTCGCAGGTGGACAACAAAGTTTGGTTTTGTTGTACGTTGAGCAACTATCACTGTTCTAAGTCGATTTAGAGATGCATCAGCAAAGGGATGGCAACCAGATGGATGAAATCCGGTGACTGCCGGCATACAGAATCAGACTTTGTACTGGAGGAATCCGATGAGCTGCAGAGCTCCTTTGGACAGACGTCCAGGGATCGTTCCAGAAGGAGCACCTTGAGAGCAGGTGAAGCGAGAAGGTTGAGCGTGACTGGCAAGGTGGCTTTGAAAAGTGTACGAGGCAATGGCGTAAAAACGTGGAGGATTATAGCCACGATGGATGATGAGCATATGCATGATGATGATGCCATTTATTACCCCCGGAAAGCCTCACTCGGTCTTCAGACTCTTTTGCAGGAAAATCGTGAATTGGAATATTTGGAGCGAGTGCCCAGAGTCCACCCGCACAGATGAGGGAGCAACACTCAAAAGGGGCCCTTCGCTCGCTGTGTACACAAAGACAAAGATCCCCCGTATAACCTTAACAAACTGATGGGGCAAGTGTTGTTAGTGAGCTCCTATGAAGGCCGGCACGGCGCACTTGTGGTGGGTGGCCAGCATAACGCCCAACCGCCTTTGTCTCCCCAGTGGCGATGTTTACACACCGCACCGGGTACGTATTTTGAGGCTGAGTCGACCGAGGGGAGGCCCAGGACCGGTTGAGATAATCGTCACCGGTGTTTGTCCTTGAGCGGGAATCGAACTCCCCATACACACGCACACATGTACATGCAACCAGGTGTTTCAGCGGCAAGCGGATCCATTCGCTGTCCTTTGGAACGACGATGTTTTTTTTCTAAGTGAGACAAATAAATACTCAGAAACCAATTCACTTGCTGGATAATGTCCCCATTTCGTTGCAGTTTTTGGAGCAAATCGGCGTAGCGATGTGAAATACGTCTGCCATGCAGATGTCCTGGCGTGAAACCGTTCCGACGGTAAACGGATAACTTTTTTTCACTTGGAGGCAAACGTAGCCACAATTTGGCACTGTACAAATACAAGTATGTATATTTATAGATAATGTGGGGGCAAGCAATGCCACTCACAAAAAAACATCAGCACTCCCGTCTCCACTGCCCGTTCTACCAAAGTCTTTGCGCGTGACGTTAGAGGTTGGGGAACCGCTCGACCCCCTCCTCTCAATGTCCGCTCGCAGGCCTGAACGTGTTTTGGAAATAAAAAGCCGCCGCTCGGCGTTAATCAACACGTTCATTATAACTAACACGTTAATTAAAACCGATATTAATCAACAAGCAGTGGCGCGGGGCAGAGAATGCAGTGGCGACCTCGGGCTTCGTTGTGATCCCAGTTGAAGACAACTTTTACAACTCGACTCCAGTGAGCACACGTCCGGACAGGAGCTCGCGGATCACTGGGACCGCCGCTCACTAACCGCACGCGGGTTCTAACCCCACCCCAGTTGTCAGCACAACCGTGACCTGACCTTTTTGTGCCCTGCCCCACCCTAAAAAAACATGTGCAGAGAATGAATGGTGCAAGTGAATGGACGGGGCAAGTGAATGAACTGGACAAGTGAATGAACGGAGCAAGTGAATGAACGGGGCAAGTGAATGGACGGGGATATTGAAGGAACGGGGAAATTTAATGAACGGGGCAAGTGATTGAACTGGGCAAGTGAATGAACGGGGCAAGTGAATGAAATGGGCAAGTGAATGAACGGGGAAATTGAATGAACGTGGCAAGTGAATGATTGGGGGCAAGTGAATGAACGAGGCAAGTGAATGAACGTGGCAAGTGAATGGACGGGGAAATTGAATGAACGGGGCAATTGAATGAACGTGGCAAGTGACTGATTGGGCAAGTGAATGAACGAGGCAAGTGAATTAACGGGGCCGGTCTGCTGTGAATCTGTGAACGGTCTGAACAGACTGCTGAAGTGCATAGATCCTCATCATTATTATTGTCCAATCATTCCGGTTACATTATTTCAACGCAGTTTGCTGAGCATAGAAAACCAGAGTACCCGGAGATAATAGTACACACTCAAGAGTCCACACAGATGTGTGTGTGTGTTGAACTTCTTTTGCACCGTGCGTAGCCAACCGTGCTCATCGGAGGTGTGGGGAAGAACAACAAACTAGCACACACAACGCGGTTCCAAAAGAAATGAGTTTTCAATGTGGATGATTTAAAGGTGAGTGGCTCCAGTGGCTTCCTAATATCGACAGGAATAGATTTGGTTGAGGGTCCCATTTGCCGAATTCCCGTCTCGCGTCCGCCTTGCACGTGGGAGCAAATTGGAGCATCCTGACGAGCACCCTCAGAACTGGGACCCCAGTCAGCCGGTCTCGAGGTGGGTCCGTCGGAAGATTTCCAGACCAAACGATCTTCTACGTCCCGAATTCAACAGATCCGCACGTTTAACCGCAACGTGACCCATCGTTCGCACTCTGAGCACCGTCGCATACATCACAATTAATCCCAAACGATCCATCGATTTGTTATTATTGCTGATGGCCGACACACGCGCCGCTTACGCATGCCGGAAGAAACGACGCGCGCGGAGGAGTGCGAAGTAGGCCAACGTGCAGCGACAGGGAGATTGTGTGAGCCGATGCAACTCGAGCCCGGTCCCTAACCCCATCCGACCAGCCACTTGTACTCGTCCTATTCCTAGCCCTAGCCAACGACCATACTGATCAGGGGCCGCCCCCACACTTTTAAAAGTTGGGTCCCCAGATGCCTGCTAATGGGTTTTTTTTTTGTTGCCGATTGGCGGTTGCAACTGTTTTGAAAGGGAGAGCGGAATGCACTGGGTAACGCGTTGCTGCATAGCAGCCGTGTAAGCGTGTGTAAGTGGGCGAGTGTGTAAGTGGGCGAGTGTGTAAGTGGGCGTGTGCAAGTGGGCGAGTGTGTAAGTGGGCGAGTGTGTAAGTGGGCGAGTGTGTAAGTGGGCGAGTGTGCAAGTGGGCGAGTGTGTACGTGGGCGAGCGTGTAAGTGGGCGAGCGTGTACGTGGACGACGGGGTGGTTGGCCAGCACCACGCCCGGCCGCCTTTGTCTCCCTCTTAATGATGTTTACACACCACACCAGGTACTCATCTGAGTCGACCGAGGGGAGGCCCAAGGTCGGTTCAGATAATCGATATATATGTACACACACATATATACACACAAAAACACATATATACACACATATACACACACACAAACACAGACACATCTATGTGTGTGTGTATCGCAGCCGGTGGTGATTTCCCACTCCCGCAATTACCATTCCGCCGTGGTCTGTAGAGCGACAAATGTGAACTTAATATGTGATAGCCATCACGTAGGTTAGGGTCCAACGCAATAGATAAATGAAAAAAGCGAAAACACACACAGACAAAGATCCACCGTATAGCCTTAACAGACTGTTGGAGCAAGTGCGGTTTGCGAGCAGCTATTTAGGCAGGCACAGCGAGGGGGTGAGGGGTGATGTGGCCAGCACCACGCCTGGCCACCTTTGTCTCCCCAATGGTGATCATTTACACACCACACCGGATATATATTTTAGTCTCAGTTTACCGAGGGGACGTCCAGGACCGGTTAAAAATTTGTATCCACTGTTATCGGTCGTGAACGGGAATGGAACTCGGGCCGCCGGGTTCGTAGCGCAGCGAGCCGACCACTACGCCACCGCTCCCCCCACACACCCACAACCACACACGCACGTGGGCACACACCCGTAAAACGAGCTCCAATGACACATTTGTCACAATTGAACGATAACGCTCAGCGGCACACTCAGGCTCGGTCCTCATCAATAATCAAACATCGTTCTTCTCGAGTCAGCCTGCCTTTTTTTTTCCCCTTCTATTCCTCTAGTGGCAGTTCCGGTGTCACGTACTGTATAATGACCGCGTGGCGTGTGTAAGTGATAGCTGCAGAGCCACGGAAATTCTCGTGGAGGTTTGAAAAAGCCACCGGCACTACACGAGCTCCCCACACCCCGGTAATCCCTCCGGCGCTGCTGTAACGCACATCGCCATTGTCATGATCGTCGTCGTCATCATGAATGTAATCGCCGATGATGAGTGTGGTCGGGGCACCTCTCCAGTGCTACGCGTGCGACGAAGTGGAAGTAGAGCACAAGGCACCAGCTGTGTGGACCTCTGTTCCTCCCTTGTATTACGCATGGTGAGCTTTCTCCGGCTACGTCCGGCCGACACGTCCACCGTCAGTGGCGAGTGATATCTGAGCAGCTTCTGGGTACTCCACTCGGTCGTCCCGGCCCTGAACGAGCACGCGGTGCGGTGTGTGCAAAGTTCAGCACTGGGGAGACAAAGGCGGACGGGCATGATGCTGGCCACACCACTCCCTCGTGCGAAGTCTTCATAGGTGCTCGCTACCGACACTTGCCCCCAATAAGCTGCACAGCTACACGGGGGATATTTGTC